TCGGTTACCAATGAATCTATCACATCTTCTGTGTCACATGTAGCAGGCAAGCTCAGTGTAATGCTTAGTCTCTGGCTAAACTTTTCATTTAATTCTTTCTGCAGATTCYTAYTGCTTGCTAATCGAAGTGCTATAACCAAACCCTCACCCTTGGCAGGTGCATTACCAACGATCCAAGGTGTATCATTGCCTGTTCCAAGCGGTATAAAGGGATATCTTGGGTCATGTTTCAAGAATGCACCAGTCCAGGTGTGATCTTCAATATTCGGGCGAAATACTACTGGTGGTTGCTCAGCCCAAATTTTAAGATCATCGGCGGCTAGTAGTAAATCTTCCGGTTTGATTGATCGCAATGCTTGAACTAGGTCAGCGGAACTTAGATTCTCAGCTTCTGTTACACCAGCAGCTTTAGCCAATTGAACGACCTGGTCTCTAGGATCCTTTACTGGCAAAGCGAATGGTGAGTTTCCGACGCCACTCATCATAATAGCGTTACTGAATAGACCTGAAAATGTGTTGAGATTACAATGCTTCCAATACTAGGTATCGTCTTTATGGCCTCATAAATTACCCTCATCATTGTTATTCATTAAGTGTAAATGGACTGATGCAGCGCCAGCACTATGACCGAAAATAGTCACTCGTTCAGGATCACCGCCAAAAGCCGAAATGTACTTCTTAACCCATTGTAGTGCTAATTTCTGATCTTTAAGTCCATAATTTCCCGTCATCTGCTCATCGTTAGTAGATAGGAAACCTGTTGAATAAAACACAATAATACAAATAATATTGGCATTAATAATAAGATTCTTTTGGATATGTCGAAATATCTTGACATATTGGCTTAAAACAAATTCCAGTCGAACACGAAAATGTGTAACATTTTAGAACTGAGCAGATTTCCAAAATTTCGAAGCACTTCACTTTATATAGATGTTTAATATTACTAATAAATTTAAAAGTGGGTTTCTACAAAGATAAAAGTTTTACTACACATACTACTACATACATATATAAATAAACACACATATGGATTTATATGCAATGTGCATCCAATAAAAATAAAAATGCATGGGGACACAAACATTAAATTGTACACTTGAAAACAACCCCATATCAAGCAGCATAAACAATATGCTGCAATACATACAAACATACACATATATTTAGTTATTAAAGATAGTTTTATGGAATAGTATATACGTAATGAAAATACCAAAATAAAATCGGAATGAATATATTCTCACTCAAAAAAAGATCTTTATTTTTCCACCACCAGCGGTAAGAACTTAAAGATTCTTTTTTGAGGTGAATGTTTGATGATGCAAATCAAACACCGGTTTTCAAAAAAAAAAAAGGCTTTTATAACTTACCAAATGGACCCAAACGATAGGCGNTGTTTAATATTACTAATAAATTTAAAAGTGGGTTTCTACAAAGATAAAAGTTTTACTACACATACTACTACATACATATATAAATAAACACACATATGGATTTATATGCAATGTGCATCCAATAAAAATAAAAATGCATGGGGACACAAACATTAAATTGTACACTTGAAAACAACCCCATATCAAGCAGCATAAACAATATGCTGCAATACATACAAACATACACATATATTTAGTTATTAAAGATAGTTTTATGGAATAGTATATACGTAATGAAAATACCAAAATAAAATCGGAATGAATATATTCTCACTCAAAAAAAGATCTTTATTTTTCCACCACCAGCGGTAAGAACTTAAAGATTCTTTTTTGAGGTGAATGTTTGATGATGCAAATCAAACACCGGTTTTCAAAAAAAAAAAGGCTTTTATAACTTACCAAATGGACCCAAACGATAGGCGGCCACTACTAGAATTACATTACTCRTWTCCATAAAATATTGCGGCCCTACATTGTCGGGACTCGGAGAGCCGGCGAAAAATCCACCACCGTGTATGTAAAACATYACTGGCAATTCTCCACCGGCACCGTGCTGCAGCCAAAAATAAAAATTGGTCATGTAATTACTCGTACTGTGGAACAACAAATCCGGTAATCATATAATTATATTTATATTAGTTACCAACGGGCGATATATATTCAAGTAGAGGCAATCCTCTGATCCGCCGATTCGTTTTGTAACATTGATATAATCACGTTGTATACAATCAGGCGTAGAATTTATTGCTGATAACGTTTCATTCCATAGTTCAGCTTCTTCAGGATTCTATAATTTTATTTATAAATATACAACATTGCTTGTTCAAGGTATATGCTTCATACTTACACTGAATCTCAAATCACCGATGGGTGGTTTGGCGTATGGTATGCCCAAGAAGGCTTCAAATGAATCGCTCTCATTGGCACTAATATATCTGCCGAGGACACAAGATAAACCCGAAATGCATACCTTCGGCGAATTGCCGCATATCGAACCGATGTTCGAGCAACACACCAAACACGTTAACAACAAAGTAATTCCTTTCATTTCTGCGACAATTCGATAAACTCTAGCAATTGGTTTAGAATCGGAGTTTACGCAAAACTTTTATACTAAACCAGAAGTGATTCGCCCATAAATTGAAACGTGCCCAAGCATGTGCCTCTTTGAACATATATCGTTGTGTTTTTACTATCTTTCCGGCAAATTAGCTATCAAATAAATTAGATATATTTTGTACATCAGGGTACATGCCCTAAAAAGTAAAAGAGCAGATCGATGTTTTATAAATTTTTATACTCT